AGAGTCAAGGGAGACAGTCCCTAGTGACTGCAAAGCAGCCTGAATTTCAGGACAATGCCATAGTTCACAGCAACCTCAAACTCCAGGGCTCAAGTGATCCTCTTGCCTCAGCCTCCCGAATAGCAGGAACTATAGGTGCCTGCCATGATGCCTGGCTTATTTTGCTTTACTTATTTATTTATTTATAGACAGAGTCTCACAACGCCTGGCTATTTTTTGTTTTTAGAGACCGAGGTCTCGCACTGACTCAAGCTGGGCTTGAACTCATGAGCTCAGGCAATCCACCTCCCTGGGCCTTTCAGGGTGCTAGGATTATAGGCATGAGCCACCGCACCTGGCCTCTTATTTTGCTATTTTTAGTGGAGATGGGGTCTCCCTCTTGCTCAGGCTGGTCTCAAACTCCTGAGCTCAAGCAATCCACCTGCCTCACCCTCCCAGGTTTCTGGAATTACAGGCGTGAGCCACCTCACCTGGCCACAACTGTGATTCTGTGTGCGAGCACTGGGTCATACGTTTTCTTCCCTGGACAGTAAGAGCACTCTGTGTGGCAGCCTGTGCTCAGCCTGCACCTGCTACATCTCATTTCCAACCTGTCACTTCCTTATACAATCCCCAATTCCCTGTTTATTGTTCCTATTTTACAGATTGAGAACATTGAGGCCTCTTCCTTTCCAGCCATGTCTCCCACTAAAATCCTCCACCCCGGTCCCTGCCACTCACGTCCAGCTATTCCAGCTACCCTTGGCCTAGTGAAATGGCAGGGAGCCAGCCACAGGTGAGCAGCACTCTTCCTGATCCATGGGAGATGCTGGTGGCCTGGCGCACAGAAAGGGCTCAGCACAGAGGCCAGGCCCCCTGGAAAACAGGCCCCCTCATTCCTCCAGCCTATACCAGGATCCTCTCCACGGCTATTTGCATCTGCATCTGGCAGATACAGCTGGAATCCCACTTAGCACCTCCCAGCTCTGTGAACTTGGGTGAGTCTTTCCTCTCTGAAATCTCCTCCCATGCAAAGTGGGGTAATGACAGAACCCAGCAACAGGGGAACAAGGCTAAAGGAAACACCACAGTGTGGAGCAGGGCAGAGGCGTCAGCCCTCAGCCTTCCAGTGCAGAACATCTCACAAGTCACACCTGTAAGGCCTCCTGTGGTCAGGACCTGGGAAATACCAAATTCTCAGTGGAGCACCCCTCCAGCATCGACACCCTCACCCCACTTCAAGCTGCTGAGCCTCTGCTCTCCACCCAGCTCAGCTCTGCCAAAGGGCCACACGTCGACACCCACTCCCTGGCTGGCACTGGGGCTCCCTTCTCTGCAGCCCCTCTGCCTCAGTGCTCACAGCTCAATCTACCTTGGTGAGGCAGCATCACCACCCTCAGGACAGGCCTGGGTGGGCTTCATCTCTGCACAGAGTGAAGCAGTTAAGAGCATGGGTTCAGACAGATTCTGCTACTTCCTAGCCTTGCAGCTGGGCACACGTTACTTCCTTCCAGCCTGTGTTCCCTCACATGATTACTTCAAGGATAAAAGGAAAGAGAACATAACACACTCCTTTTGCCCTGCAGTGTTCCAAACAGAAGAATCCCCTAGGCCTCCCCAAATGCCCAGGCATGAATGGCTCAAAAATGTTCAGCCAGGGCACAATACAGTCCCCCACCCTCAGCATGACGCATCTCAGGAAACACACCAGGTCCTGGGGCAGTCACAGCCACACCACCTGAATGTCAGAGCTCATTACAAAGGGGCCTGGCCGCATAGCACACTTGGGCTGACACTGACAGCCCAGCAGAAGGCAGACTGTGGCAGACTGCGTCCACTTTCGGTCCAGATGTTCATACACCTGGACATTGAACCACCTGGTTCTTCCCAGCTCAGATTCCGGAGCCCCACAGCAGCTACCATGGCGAGCCAGCTTGGCTCCTCAACCAGCTGGAACCACAACAGTGTCCTGTGGGTACATCACCAGAACCCTGCTTGCGGGGTGACCACAGCCCTGGCTGCTTCCAGCAGGGTTGTTACTTCAGCTGACAGTCACTTATGCGCCTGACTCCTCTCCCCCATCAACTGTGCCCTCCTGCAAAGCAGGGATCAGAGCCAACACAGAGCAAGTACTTAAAGGTGCTTCTCCTGCAGAGGCCACCACAGATGAGACTCAAAAGTCAGGTTTGGATCCACAAGGTGCCTTTCATCACACAAGTGGGGCCAGAATCCCTACATGGGGAGGGCCAGAAGCTTTGTCCCTTCCCACTGGCAGACACTGATTCAGAGATGACAGTAGCTTGTCCAAAGTCAAGCGTCTCTACCTGAGGCTCCCCTGACACATTCAAAACAATCTCAGAGGATATGACACAGTTCTGAGTAACCTGAGCTTTAATTAAACAACAACAAAAAATCTGAGATATTTAAATTCATCCATAATGTAAAGGTTGTCACAGCTATGAAGTGGAGATGAAAAGACACCATCCTGACCCCGTGGGTTGGGAAGGTAAGTGATTCAGTGGCTGTACAAGTGCTCTGAGGCCATGTTCGGGGTTCAAATGTTCTGCGTGCTTGAGCCAACTATTGGGTCCTAACTCTGCTCTGGGCACTAAGTTCCTAAGGAGCTCACTTCCCTCTGAACATCAAATCTCTCCTCTGAAAACTAAAAGAGATGAACAATGTGGCCCTCTGAGGAGTTAAGATTCCAGTCTCCTTGGTCACCTACAACCTTCATTGGCCAGTCCAGAAATTAATTCCTCCATTTGTTTGCTAAATGCTATTGGACATATATGTTCTCATATATACAAAATATGCCCCATGGAAGGCCCTGAGAAGACTCAGACTAGGCAATACCCTCAAGGGCTCACTGCAAACTGAGATAGTCACACAGTCTAACACAAAGCCACAACTGTCCTGTGTCCACAGAATATACCCAGCACGAAGAGAACACAGGCAGTGGAACAGGACTGCGTACCGCTGGGTATAGGAAGAGTTCCCAGGGTGGCAGCCTTGGAGCTGAGACTTAAATAAGACCTGCAGGTGCTCACGGGACAAATGGGCATGGACAAGTTTCCAGGCAGAGAAAACAGCCCTGTAAAAGAGGAGAGCTTCAGAGCACACAAGGACTGAGTTCTGAAGAAGGGTGAGAGGCGAGACCTTGGGTGTGAGGGAGAAAAGGAGGCCAGGAGAGCAGACAAGGTAATCGTCCGAAGTCATCAATTCCTGGCTGTCCCTGAGCAAGCTTCTGGTTCTCTAACCCCCAGGCTCCTCATGGTGCTATGGACATAATATGGTTACTTGGCAAAGTCAATATTGTGTCAGGAGTAAATGACAGGGCATCTGGCACATGCTGAGTTCCCAGTAAAAGCTGGGTGCCAACATCACTGATCTTGGGGGATGGCCCTGAGGCCTCCTTAGGGACAGGGACTACCTATCAGAAGAGAAGATGCTCACAGGTAAAGGCAATCAGAGCACAGAAGGTCTGGGTGGACCAGAGAGCAGGGAAAACCTGCCTGGAGCTGCTGAGCAAACAGGGGGCTATAGCAGATGGTCCTGCAGACCCACCCCAGCTCATTCTGTGCCAGGTGACAGGTGGGCCTGCTAGGCCAGCACACAGTAGGTGCTCAATAAATGTTGCTGAATGTATTAATGAGCATTCTCCAATTGCTGCTCAAAAATAAATCTTGACACCTATGTTCTCATCCCTCCCACTTTATAAGCACCACCCCCGCCACCTCCTGCAAGAAATCTCCATTCCCAGGCCAGCTGGGCTGGGACCTGCTCACTGAGAAGTGAGAAGCGTCTTGGGCTAAGCCTGTCTCCTATGAAAAGGAGGATTCCAATGTATCCTCTCCTCACCCCAGCCTCCTGGGTGTGGCCTGCTGAGGGGCCTGTACTGTGTGACCTTAGAGTGGACGCCTTTGAGCTTTAGGACTCAGTTTCCCCAATGGTGAATGAAGGCCACTGGTAGAATCTGGAAGGTTGCATAGGGACTCAGCAATGCTGTTGCCCCTCAGAAATCCCCAGCCCAAACTGAGAATGGGATTGGGGGTGGGGGGGACAATGAGGTATGAAGTCATTCCCTGCATGGAGAAGGGAGGGGTCTTTTCAGGGAAAAAAATGACAAACCAGAGACTACAAAAGACAGGACTCCTGCTAGGCTAAGAACCAGTGGATCCATCAGTAATGAATTACCTCACACTCAGCCAGGCTGGGAGACCCCACCCACACCTGCACTCCCAGGCCCTTTCAAACAATAAGAGAGCCCCCACCCCACCCAGCAGATATAGGACTTAGGCCCTCCTTAGATCAGAATTATACCCAGAGGCAGCAGGTCCTGCTCTCTCTGCCAAGTGGGTGAGTTCAGGGGGCCACTGCCCAACAGGTCCCTGGTTAGAGCTAACCGGTAAGAAGGAAGGCTGGGTGTGGAAAGACAAAGGCTTCATGAAGGAAGCCGGATCCTCCACCATCCGCATGAGCTGGGGACAGTGGCCAGAGCGCTCTCCGGGGAGGTCCACCTGAAGCCTACGCGGGACTGGCGCTGCCGTGCTAGATAAGGGTCTCCCCAAATCCCACGCCCACACTTGCAGCAGCTGCGCTTCCTCGAGAAGGAAGAGGACTTGCAGAGGTTTGGAGAGGAAGGAGGGAGATGAAACGGACACCCAGACGGCTGGAGAAAGACATCGATGACCATGGAAACAGAAAGAGACACAAGGAAACAAGGGTGCGGGGACCCAAAGCACAGACGGGGATACAGGGACACAGGAAAGAGCCAGATGCAGAGACATGGGGGCGCATGGAGGAGGACAGGACACAGAGACACACGGAGGGAGGACAGCGACACACATCGATATGAACACACAGAGACAGACCCGCACAGAGACACACACGCAGAGACAGGTACACCCAGAGGCCGCAACACGCGACTATCGACAGAAGAACGCGCGGAGGCGCGCACAGCCCGCGACGCTCCATGCCCAGCCAGCCCAGGCCTCTCCCCCGGCCCGGCCCGACCCACTCACCGAGGCCGCAGACCTCGCGCCGCAGGCAGAGGCGGCCACGCTCCTCAGCTATGGCTCGCAGCATGTGCTGCAGCGAGCGCTCCTCGGCCTCGGCGCCGCCCGCAGACTCGGGGGAGGCGGCG